GTATGCCATGCCTCATGTACACCCATTCACAGTGTATGCTGCCAATAGTGCAGAAGCATTATTTATCAGTTTTGAAATATAACTTCCTTTTCCAGCAAATTCGGTTAGCATTTTTCTGTGAGTGGTGTGTATTTTGTACCATGTTCATGTTATTATAAAAATGAATTGGTACAAAGCATGAGGTCTTATTTTTATAGTGAAATCACCCACTAGCAAAGTTTCTTCAGAAAATTAGCTTTAAAGTTTACCTTTTGTCCTCCTCTCTATAGTTTGCATATTTATGATACAGTCCCCACATGATTCTCACTTCTTTAGTTTGAAGATAAAGGGTTCTTCCTTTGAAATCCCTGACGTTGAAGTTGTAAGTAAAGTTTTATTTTTTGCTAAAAACTGATGGAAGCTTTGCATAAAGAGTGAGCAAAACTTGTGCTGATACTTTGTTGTGAGTGGGCTGAAAGATTTTGTATTGTAGTTTTTAAGTGTTAATTGTTTATTCTTGGCCCATTTAGAATAAATAAGCATACAGTTTTGCAGATGCAATCTAGTTGTCACTATATATATGCAAACAGGTAAAACTTGCATGTAGCCCTGGAGAGATAAGTAATAATGCAGCCCTGCAGTGTGCATGGGTCTAGATTGGTCATAAGATCCATTTTGGCTGGGCAATCCACGTGCATGCTGCAGACCTCAGGCTATGCATGCCTCAAGTTCGGTTAGACTTTGTGGAAAAGTCACTTGGTAAGACAAAAGGAATGGTTGAAGGAGCATGGTTGCCACTGCAACTATGATTTGGCAGGCAGTAAAGGACCAATCTGGTGCAGAGCTCAGCATCATTGCATTCAAGTCTATTATTGCCCTTTTTAATCAGTACTGCTTTATGAATAGTTATATTGATAAATCTCTTTTATGGCAATCTAAGGGATCCTTCCCAAATGGATCCCTTGCTTAAAGCCTTCCAACTTTTATCCACAAGATTAGTGAACTTAACCTAAGTTTTCTCCTCTTTTAGTGTGCCTCTAATTACGAGTATTTTACTTTTAAATTTTAAGTATCCTTACATAAAGCTAAAACATTAATGGGCAATTGCCATGGTGAAGGATCCCTTAGATTGCATAAAAAGAACTATTCATAAAGCCCAGTAACTCCGAGTAAATAGGCAATAATCCTTTGAATGGGCCAATGCTGCCTGAATCTCTGCACCCAGAATTTTGGTCCTTTACTGCCTCCAACATAGGTGCGTGGCAACCACTCCTCCAATCCTAATCCCTTTGTTCTTCACTAAATGTACACTCTTTCCACAAAGTCAACCGCAACTTGATGCATTCGCAATGATGCCCTGAACTGCACATGCAGTGATCTTCCTGCCTCCAGCGCAAAATGGATCTTATGACCAAACTTCTCGCCCTTCTCTAGACCACACCGGCAGGCTTCTTATTACTATCTCTCCATGGCTAAATGCAAGTTTACCTTTTGCAAAAATTAGTGACACTAGATTGCTCAAAACTTGCTTATTATTCTAAATGGCAATAATAAACAATTAACACTGACTACATACAAAACTTTCAGCCACTCACAACAAATACAGCACGAGTTTTGCTCCACCTATTGCAAAGCCTCTCCATCCTAGTACTTCTTCAATCGCAAAAATACAACTTCACTCTATATCAACCTTCTCAACGTCCAGGTGTTAAAAGGAAGAACCCTTACTTCTCCAACTAAGAATGAAGAATCATGTGGGGACGTATACATAATTAGTGCAACTTCTCAGATGAAGACGGACAAATCGGTAACTTTAAAAGCTAATTTTTGAAGAACTTTGCTATGGTGATTCTCTCAAACAATTATACTCATCTCTTTACCAATTATTTTCTTATATATAACGAACAGGTCACAAAATACACCTATCACAGAAACATCTAACACGAATTGCTGGATCAAAGGAAGTAAGTCAAAATCGTGCATAATCTCAATGCCTTGCTCTATTGGCTAGATACACTGTGATGGGTGTACATGAGGCATAGGCATACTGCTGCGTTTCTTCCACATCTCATGTGCCGCTCTGGCCTGGTGATGTCCCAGACTCTGTGACCGGCTGAGACTGAAGACACGCTCGATTGACCGACTGGATCGGAAAAACCCTTGACGGTCGTAGGTAGCCAGTCAGGATAGACTTCTACCCTGTGCACACTGCTGTTTGATCTGGGTCTTGCTGCTGCTCTTCACACTACTGCCTGTCCCTGCTTGCACTGATCTATAGGTCATTTGGAAGCCCACTTCTACCGCTACAACTCACACAAATGCTCCTAACACTTTAGCATAGCAAAGTTCAGCAAATTCCTGATACATATCATAATAACGACTCGATACCGCTTGCCTCTAACACCGTATACAAGTCCATGTAAATACTGACTAAGAAGGAAAAACTGTCATCATATCATGCGCTTCCAAAACTGTTGGATCGTGTTTGGCATATGGCCAAGAAGGCCTAATACACACATACACACTTGGTGTTCGTACTTGGGCAGGCTATCGTTTGGGGGGGGATACAGAACAGACATTGGTTCACTTCCAAGTACGTTTACCTTCTTTTCCATGTATCTCCCTTCCTGCCTGCATATTAGACTTTCAGACTTGACATTCTTGCATTATTGCCTCAACTGTTAGACCTACACCAAGGCCAATCCCAGAAACACTTATATAGGAAAGATAAGACTGCTCTCCTGACCGCAGTAAATTTCCACTTATCCCAAAATCCTTAAAATGAACAGGAGTCACTTATCAAAAAGGTCACTTCTTTAACAAACCCATCTCTGATCATATCTTTATAACTTGTGCCTCAAACTATCATCATAAAATGTGAAGTCTCCTACTCCCAGCTGACAGTATACTACTCCCCTTGCCTAAAACACCAAACATTATTCTACAAATACTATGAACTAGCTATCACCTACACAGAAGGTTTGTATTGTAAGTGCGGAAATAATGGACCATGATTTCAATGCCCAGTTTACTCCTAATGCATGTCAGATAAGGTATTCTCTTACTATATCATAGCAGCAAATTCATATTGACCACGAATACTCAGCAATTAACACCTGTTTAATACAATATCTACTGTGAAGTTTGACATAATTGATAACAAATGCTTGATAACATCTGAAACGTGATCTCTAGTAAACAATCACCATACTCAATTCATATCAATAAATCAAACTTAACCTAAGAGGTTAATTATCCTTTTACTTCTTTTCCTTGTTTTAATTCCTTTTCTTATTTTTGTCATGCTTTTTCACCCTTTAATCTTATCAAAAAAACCAACTAACGATATCGTATACTCTTTCTCATTAATTCTTAAGGACTCTTATGAAAGCCAAAAGAGTCTACACATCACAAAATACGCAATCTCACGGCACGTTCACAGTTAAGCTTTACATCCCACTTCCATGTTCAGTATCGATCAATAGCAAGGGCTGAAGAACGTATGACATTGCTCTAGCTACGTTTTACTCACAGAGAAATGACCCATTATCCCATCTCAAGATTGCACACTTGTCTTGGTCTGCCGTAGCCTCAATACAGATAGCAGACTAAGATCACTCATAACAGATAACTTTTACACGAGAGTTACATATATTTTCTGTTCCTCTTATCAATGTTAGTTAGTACCTTCAATGAAATACGTATCACCCAACAATACAAATTCCTGATGGAAGTGGGGATATCTAACACTGTTTCATCAAGTGCGGGCAAAGTATCCAGTGACATTCCGATTCAAAATAACCCTTCGTGGGAAAAAATATGAATATAGTTCATAATTTAAGAAGAATTATTATCTTCTTTCTTGTTCAAATACTGTTCCAAATCACTAACAATATAATAAATAAATAATTATATAAGGTAAAATCTCAATTTAATAGCCACCGCTTTAAGCAAAAAATTGCTAAATACTAAAATTATCCAATCATGTATAGCTTGTTGTTATATATAAAAAGCAAAATATAATGGGGACTGATGGTATTAAACTAATCTGCAAATGGCAAATAAAACACATAATAATAATAGATAAACCCCTAAAATAATAACAAAATGAAATAGCAATTGGGCGATTCATCCCCTCCTAAAACGGACAACATCTCTAAGAGATGCTTGCTAGAGCTCCAAAATGAAAAAGAAATCAATTCTAAAATACATATCAACATCTTCCTAAACTGAACCAAATCTTATCAAGCTGAAAAACAAAGCTCTGGTTCGCCATGTCTCAAAATGTGCAGTGTCTGCGTGTCTTAACTGGTGTGTTTTGTTTTGTGGCTTGTGGTCTGCATGTGTTTTAAATTTCCTTGGTGGTGTTGTTTGCTCTAGTGCGTACTGGTTTGTGTTGTCAAATGTTCGGGTGTGTCGTAAGTGTTTTGTGGGGTGTGCCTATGGATAATCTGTGTATTTTGTTGTGTGTGTGTGTGTGTGTGTTGCCTGTGCTGTATCTATGTCTATCGTACTGTGTTGTGTGTGTGTGTGTGTTGTGTTGTAGTTTGTGTGTGTGGGTGTGTGTGTGTTGGTGTTGTGTTGTGTGTGTGGTGTGTGTGTGTGTGTTTGTGTGTGTTGTGTGCTTGGTGGTGTGTGTGTTGTGTCTGTGTTGGTTTGTGTGCTTGTGTGTTGTGTGGTGTGTGCTTGTGTGTGTGTGTTGTGTGCTTGTGTGTGTTTTGTGTGTGCTTTGTGTGTGTGTGCTGTGTGCTGTGTGTGTGTGTGTGATGCTTTGTGTGTGTGTGTGTGTGCCTTTGATGGGTGTGTGCGCCTGTTGAGTGTGGTGTGCTTGTGTGCTTGTGTGCTTGTGTGTGTGCGTGTGTCTGCTTGTGTGTGTGTGTGTCTGCTTGTGTGTGTGTGTTCCTGCTGTGTGTGTGTGTGTGTGTGTGTGTGTGTGTGTGTGTGTGTGCTGTGTGTGTGTGCTGTGTGTTGTGTGTGTGTTGTGTGTGTGATGTGTGTGTGTGTGTGTGTGTTGGATAGTT